TTGTAAAGTGTTCCTTTTTTGGTGGGGGTAATTAGGTTTATTTATTTAAAAAAGTTTTTTTTAATATAGGTACTGGGGATTGAACCCAGGACACCTGACATGCTAAGCACACACCCTACCGCTGAGCATACCCTTCCCCCGCTGTAAAGTGTTCTTTATTGATTTATCTGAAAAAAACCAACAGAAATCCCTAGAACCGGAACATTGGGAAATCGTGTGTTTCACGTGGTGAAAACAAAGGTATTTGGGGAGATACCACTGATGCATGTTCTGAAACTCATACCGAGCTTGTAGGACCAGCAGGTGGGAACTCTGGCAGAGCTGCTGGTGGTCACGTGACGGCTGGACATCAGTGAGAAGACGGTGCCGACACGTCCCACTGCAGCCCTGGCTAGCTCTCTCTGCTGATCGGCGGGAGCAGTGCCCCAGCCCCTGGAAGGTGGGTTGATGTTCCTGCTCTGTCCTGACTTGTAAGAGAAAGGCTGGGCCGGGGCAGGTGGTGACCATGGGCGGGTTGTTGTAAGCAGCACACACGTGATTCTGTGAGCGATTTGGGAGCAAACAAAATACAGGGGTATTCTATTAACTTGAACTCTGTAAGCAGCACATTCCTCTTTGTAATAATTAACCGTGGCTTCATGAAATATCGAAGCTGTTTATGAGTAAGAAAAAAAAGGTGGGAGTATGTTCCACAGAGTTTGGCCATTAAGCATTCTGGACACTTGGTAATTCTTGAATGGGCTCCGTGGAAACCCTGTTAATTGTCGTGTTTGGTTAACCAGATACCACGACTGCATCTGACAACGGAGAATTGACTGTCATCAGTTCCCTGTCTCTGCAGGATGACTACACTCGCATTTCTTATTTTCCCCCTAATCCTGTTTTAAGGAGAATCTGTTTTAAGGCTGAAATGCCTGCTCCTCTTCCCTGTTTATTCTTCATGATCCAGCTCAGATGTCAGGTTTCCTTCCTTCCTGATCTGCCAGTGGAATAAATCTTTCCTCCCCTGTACTAACTTATTTCAAATAAGTACACTGAACTGCACTGTGTTGGAGTGTATTTCTGTGTGCATCGTTCCTATGAGACTGGGCTGCTTGTGTTCCAAGTTTTCCCTATATATCTGGCTGCTGAGTTCCTGGCGTTGCACCAGCCTGCACAGCAGGAGCTGGAAGTGCTTGATGGATGGCATCACACTGGATCTAACGTGCCTGAAGAGTAGCCCCATGGATACGTGCATTTCCATGATATTCTTGCTGAGAAAAATTCAGCTAGATAGCTTATGTTTGTCTTCGGTTATTTCCAGAAAGAAAACACATTTGTCTGTTGGCCAGCAGGATCGTGAGAATTGCTTTGGCAGGGGACAGGGTATGGATGGAGGGGGACAGAAAACACAGCTGGTGCCTTGCAGCCTGACGTCTTGAGTGCACATCTTTACTCGACAGCTGAGCATTCCAGCTCAAAGGACACTCTTGCTGTGTCTGTGTTGATATTAGTTCTTGTGCTTTCTCAAAAGTACTAATGTACACAGTTGTAACCCCCATCCTTTCTTACTGGCATCTTAGTCTAAGATAGAGAAGGAAAGTTATGTGTATGAGTGTGTTTGTATGGAGTTGGGAGGTTGGTACCCAGGCCAGGTCTTGAGCCAGAGGCCATGACCTTGGGCCAGGTGTGGCTGACCTAGCATTCATGAGACTCCTGCCACTGCTGGCAGAGCTGTTCCTTTTGGAGGGTGGGCAGAGCTGTTCTGAGGCACATAATCCTAGAACTGTGTTGGGAGATATGGAACTGACTGGAAGTAAGTCACAGATTTATGAGAGCAGACTGGTCTTGAGTCCCAGCTCTGCCGCCTACTAGCTGTGTGACCTTGGGCAAGTTGCCTGTGCTCTCTGTGCCTAACTGGGCTCATCTGTAAAACAGGGATGATAGGATTGTGACCCACCTCAATATGGTGGTTGTGACAATGAATTACATTTGTAAAGTGCTTCGAGCACTTCCTGGCACCAGTAAACACTACAAAAGGGCTTGTAAAACGCAACTGAGAAATTGCCCTGAGCCCTGATGTTAGAAGGGAGCCTTAAAAATCGTCAAGAGTAACAATCCAGAGTCTGAATGCCCTGGGCTGCATTCTTGCTTGTGGTCTGCTTTCCCTGCCTGCCCCACCCCTCTTCTGAGGCAGCCGGAGCCGAGAGGAGAGGAGGCTGAGGGTGAGCGAGGCTGAGGGGAGCGGGGCAGTGGGCCAGCGCAGCGGGGTGGGGGGAGCGGCAGCCCTCTTACCTTGGACGGTGTACCCCAGGGCCTCAGCCAGCTGCCGGCCAGTGTTCCCCTGGGCTCCAAACTGCAGGATCTCCAGAGGGATGAGCGCGCCGGCCGGGGAAACCACCAGGTTGGTTCGGTTGCAGCCCGCAGTCAAGCTGTGGTAGAGGCGGAGCGCAAGCCCGGTCTTCAGCAACATCAGGTCCTCACGGAGGTCGCCGGCTCCTCCAGAGGGGCAGGCGTGAAGGAGCAAGAGGGTGAGCAGCAGATGCCGCATGGTTCCTGCAGTTCAGTGGGGAAGAGATGTAAGTCAGGCGAGAGCCGGGCCGTCCTGCGGAGAACCTGCCTGGGGCTGGGTGTGCAGGCCCTGGGAACAGCCGAGGAGGTGATGGGCGGTCTTGTTTGTTACCCGCCGCTTCCTCCCCGCACCCGATGCTTCACTGTATCTTGTAATGTCTCCCTGAAAAATACTCACTGCAAAACCAAACTGTGAATTGGAAGGCCTGGATTTTAGGCCTGCCTCTGTCACTTACTGCATGTGTGACCTTGGGCCAGGCTCTGGTCAGACCTGAAGCAAACCATTATGTTGGAAAAGAAATGTAAGAAGTACATGTTACTCATTTCTCTTGGTACTTAGCTAGCTTACAGCTGTGCCATGTCTGTCATTAGTAGTAATAATAGTAACAGCAAATAACATACTATGTTAAAAAGGACCTGATATTTTCTCAGTCATTACAACAGTCTTACAGAGTAGCTGTTATTATATTGCAAATGTAGAGATGGTGAGGTTTAGAGAGCTCAGTGGATCATTGAAGAAAACACGGGGCCAGACACAGGCCTGTGACTCCAGTCCTGGTCTCCTATGAGTGGTACATGAAATATTAGGAATATAAATACATATTAAAATATTGATCCATGAGCGAATCGTACCTAGAATATCAATTCTGGTGATGTGAATTATTCTCATAAAAAAGAACACTTTCACAGAGAATAGAATGATATAAATATAGCTCCTACTACAGAAATATACCCCTTCAAGGAAGACAGTGCATTAGCTGGAAATTAAGGCAAAGAATAGAAAGGCAAAGTGAAAAGTATGTTCAGTGTCTAGGCCCCATGTGCAGCCTACAGCCAACTGCTGCTAAGTTGTCTGACTTTGGTATCAGGCAGGACCAGTAGGAGAAAGGCCCAGTCCAAAGTCATTTGAGAAAGAGAAGTTCTCAAGTAAAGCCACTGGGCTCAACGGTGTTGATGGGTCCCAAATGGAAAAGCATCCTCTTTTCCTCAGCTCTTCCTTCCTGCAGCCAAGCACAAAGGCAGTGCTTGATGACTTGGCATCACAAGGTGGGGATGTGCATGGGTGTGGGTGTCTTTCTGTGTGTGAGTTTGGAGGTAGCGGGTCCCAGCCCAGGGTCCTTTGGGAAATGACCAAGTCCCAGTGTTCTGGAAGCTCCTGTCCCCTCCTGCAGGGACACAGCAATCAAACCTTCATGCCCCTGGACTCCCCATGACCACGTCCCGCCTTGGTACACTGCGGATGAGCTATTTACTCACGGACTCTCGCAGGGGACTGTTGGAGTTTCCTTGCTTGCTTCTGTTTGTGTGGGTCTCCAGCATTAACGTGTTCCCCTTTTAAAAAAGTAGAACAGAATCTGCTTTGAATCACAAGACAGCATAGGGAGGAAGCTGGCAATTGCCGTCTCTGTCGGCGATGTCTCTGCCACTCGGTCCAAATTCCTGGAGCCTGCGGTCCTGCAGAGAGCCAGGAGAAGGAGTGCAGCCTGGCCAGCCAAACCCAGATTGCAAACAGAGCAGGCCCTGGGGAGGGAGCCAGTCACACCCGTCAAGCCTTCTTAGGCTTGTGACCTGGTTGTACCAGCAAGGAACCCCCATCGAGCCCTTTGTCACTTTGAGGAATTTCACTGATGACTCTGCCCTCAGGGCTTTTGCTGGGTACCAGGTACCTAGTGCTTCTCCCCTCCTCCTGTGAAGAAAACAATAAATCAGTCATTGGGCATGACTTGGAACTTTTAGCAAACGATATTTTGCGAAAGAGAAAATAAAAAAACCAATGCAAGATATGACTGTGAAACTGGGTGACTTTCTTACTTATTATTAATAAAAGTAAATGCACTTATTTATTTATATGTGATATAATAAATATCATAAGCACTATTGACAATATTGTTCTCAGACATGACAGTTAATAAATGTGCTGACTTTATTATTTGAGAAAGGATCATGTTGTCAATGAGTGAATGCACATTTTGGGAAGAAATAAGCACACTCTGTCCAAAGTCTGTCCTGTGACCAATTCAGAATTGCATACATTTCTATTAAGGTCTTAGGCATCGGATTAAATACAAAATACATGGTAGGCTGTATGCTGTTAAAGATTAAAGAAAAGAGGACGACATTTGGAAAGGAATGCAGTTTTTAGTAATTCTCTCTCAGGCACCTGTTAGAGTTAATACCTGGAAAAGAATGGGACTTTTTCATCTGCCCACTACTCACACCCCTGTAATCAGTAGGTAATTCACTTTAAAGCAGAGTTAATTGCTGACACTCAAGCATGGAAAAGTTTATAGCTCTTAGGACAGTTAGGGTTCTAGAATTGTTTCATGTGAAATTTCCCCAAATCTTTAATGTAGATGTAATGCATTCTGGCATGCCTTGGAGTCTAAGTGGTAGTAAGATGGGGGAATGAATACGTATAACTTATTCTATAGCATCCAGAGCAGGTATTCCAGCCATCCAGCCATCCAGCCATCCACCCACTCACCCATCCATCCATCCAACACATAGCTAGGTTCCAAGGCACTGTGCTCCACCCGGTGGATGTGGCAGTGAACCAGCAAACTGGGCTCAGCTCTCAGGTGACCTAGAGTCTTGTTTGCTGAGAGCAGACTTGATGCTGATGCTGATGGTTTTAAGAAAACGCCGACAGCAGGGAGGACCACAGTAACTTTCAAGGGCTGTCTCCCAATGCTGTGAGTTCCCATGGTTGCAATTATTTGAGCAGAAACTGATTCACTCTTTGCCAATGATGGAGTTGGGGAGATGCTTGTAAAAAGATTTCCTAAATTCCAAAAGGTCTGGCTGTGTGACTTCTGCAAGCATTCCTTTCTGCCTAACGCTAAGAATATACCATTCTAAATAACTTTTAAAGACATTCTCAAGAAAAAAGTTCTAGGGAAACTTAAGATACAAAAAATTGTTTCCCATGCCGGTTAAACATTTCCAAGTGAATGAATGAAAGATGGGCGGCAGTTTTTCTTCCGTGTGCTCAGCTGTGACCTGGGTGAGTCCCTGTGTTCTCTGCCCACTGAAGCGGAGATGATTGTCCTTGTTTCTGCCTTGCTGGGATATTGGTTACACTGTTAAGCCTCCAGTCGTGAAGATGTTTGTCATAATTATAACAACAAAAATAGTGAGCATTATTGAGCACGGACCATGTTCCAAGTATTCTGTTCTATCCTTTCCATCACAACTGCAATGAATCCTCACAACAGCCCTGTGAGGAATGTGTTAGTACTCCCATGCTGCAGGTGATGAAACTCAGGCTCGAGGAGCTCAGGTACTTTCCCAAGTTCCCACAGTTAGAGGTCAAACCGGAGTGTGAACCTAGGGCCACCTTGGTACCGAAGCTTGTGCTCTTTCCCACAGTCTTGGTGGTGTCTTTCAGGAGCCAAGGGGCTCTTAAAATCCCTCTTGGCTATGGGATTCTAGGACATTTAGTGGCCAGCCCAGACTCTGGGCTCATAGCATGTGTCCACCCTGCCCCCTTCACCAGGGATGCTACGCTGAATCTCATGTAGACAGACTGCTACGAGGTGCAGCAGCTTTTAATTATGGTTTTTAAGTTTTCACAGCCTGATTTCTTACAGGCATAAACTGTAGGGCAAATTACTTTCAAACCCAGAGGTCTACCGAACTAGTGTGATGCATAGAAGCACTGCATTTTATTTTAGCTGGAACATAATTAATACACAGACATCTCTTCATTGTATGGGCTGCTTGTCTGGGGTTGTACAGAGAGAATCCCTATTCATCTTTGCCCTTGAGGAGTTTTCCGTGGAAAGAGAGCACAGAGACTAACTGAGACACAGAAGCCCAAGAAGGAAGTCCCAGGGCTCTGCTGGAGTAAGCCGGAGAGCAGCACAAGGGAACCCAGCACGCGGTCGTGCAGAATTGGACAAAACTGGCAAATCCTTCAGGGGAAACCATGCAGGTGGGAGCCCCTGTCTTTCCAGGAAAGAGAAGATGGAGAGGGTCACCTCTGGGCCTCCTGTCATCACAGCTGATGGCTGCAACCTGGCCCTCAAATTCTTCATAGGTACCCAGCCCAAGGACTCAAAATCAGCAGCTGGACACCATCCTTCCAACACCTTTCCTGACAGCATGACGAGACAGTGCAT